ATAAGGAGTTTTTGTTGCATTAGTTTTAGTGAAGTAATCAGGATCTACTAATAAAAATTTACTATATCGCAACTAAATTTGCTATATCAATAAATTTGATAACTCAAACTATAATACTAGTTAAGATGCGATTAATAATATATCGAATTATTGTTCTCAATCAGACTTTATGCCAAATAAATTGACTCTAAGTATAATTTATAGCGCTGTATTTAGTACTCTGGGACAGTATTATACCAAATTAAAACCTCGATCCTTTCATTAATCAATTTAGATTTGTGCAATCACTTATATAAAGCATGCTTTTGTCTAAAAAAAATCATTTAAAATACTTCCTGTGGATTTACACTTCACTATACACTATATTCTCAGAACAAATTGGCTTTTAATTTATACATAGGGTCTTGAATACTGGTAAAAATAGTCAATACAGACATACCACTAACTACTGCTCATAATTAAGGCTCTGGTATTACTTATCATCTTTACTAGCCTTTTTTTTAAATAAAACAGGAGATATGACTACAGTACCAAATTTTTACTGTATCACAAGTACTATTTAATCTTAATACAAAAATTTTGAATAATATCTCAGATACTATAAGCAGAGCCAATAGTAAAAGCTGATAATTCAAATATAATACCAATATTTTAACTGCATAAAAGTAGTAAAATTGATTTTATTAAATATAAATAAAATTCTAATATTATACAATCAACTTTGTCAAAAAAAAAAACTGAATTTAGAAAATCCAACTGTTTTATTTCAGCACTATATATGCCACCAAAATAGATTTTCAAAAAAAACCTATTTCATCTTCATTAGAGCAATTTAGAATTTTTTATATATAAGAGCAAATTTAATTTAGGTAGTTATATTCCTTATAATTTCATCTTTTCAAAAAAAGTGTCAAAAAATTTTGTCTTTTAAGTAAAATGGATCAAAAACAATTTCGTCTTCAAATTTTAATTTCATATTCCGAAACCCAAAATAATTTCGTCGGCATGTATATTCAGCACTGGTTCTAAGAAACAAAGATTTAATTAGCATTTAAAATATAATATACATATACATATCTATGCTTTATTGTATATTTACTATAAAAAAAGAAACTGAAATATTCCCAACAATCTGACTTCTACTGCGAAAAATTCATATCGTAAATTGCTAGTGGTATAATATAGACAGGATATTTTACATCTGATCAGTATATCTATAGCTACCAAACTTTAAAATTGACCTTTATTAGTATACTATACTAAATAAATCATTATCAGAATTGCTATAACAAACCATAAAACAAAAAATCACATAATTATCAGCATGTTTATCACTGTTTTCGAAATGGCAAATAAATGTTTTTTTTGTGGACACACATACTTAATTACCTTAATATGTTGATTGAAGACTGATGCTCAATTTATGTAATAATAATTATTCTGCATGACTATTATTTCAACAATTGCATTAGTCTTCAATCAATGTGCTAAGGTAATCGAGTGTTTGTGTGTTCATATGTCCATATATTCAACAAAAAAAAAATTTATTTGCTATTTTCAATCATTTCGAAAATAGCGATAAATGAATTAGTTCAATATGAAGATTCGAAAAAAAAAGTATTCAAATAAGTTATTGCAAATCATTACTCAGACTTAATTATACGTATTACTAGTGAAAACTTATCTAAAAATTTAATAATTATCACATAATTATGTGGCTACATGATAACACACTAGTCTGGCAATTAATTGCAAATCTGATCAACTAAATGAACTAAATGATTGAGCTCTAAGAATGTAATTATGTACATGAACCTTTTTTCTTTTCAAATAATTACAATTGAACTATACAATTACACGTGAATGCCAAGAAACTAAACATAGTAATAAAATAAAGATACTTATTCTTCAGAGTTAATGCCATTAATTTATTTTTAGTAAACTTATAATCGTTCACTAATCTACAAGAAAAGTTATCTATTACAAGCAAAATTTAAATTTTAAATCAATTATATATATTAGTCTTCATAATATTATCTCACCTTTAAATCATTCAAGCCAGTAATTATATTATTATCTGTATATTTGGCTACTGATCTTTATATCACTATTTGATAATTGTCAAATCAGAATTAGAAGGCTTTTATATTACATGATTGATACAATCACTCAAAATTGGAAAAGCATTTTGTATTATGTAGTCACTTATAATTTGTGTATACAAAGTTATAAATTCTGAAGCCATTCTACTCATGCAGTCTTTTATGCTATGTTCTAATTAAATTCTGTATATAAATCTGTTAATTCCATACTTAAAAATAACAGATCACCCCAGAAATCAAAAATAATTCTATTTAGATAGTCATTATTCTATTTATATAGTCTTTTATCATACTATATTCTAATTAAGTTCTGTATATAAATCTGTTAATTTCATACTTGGGAGTAACAGATCGCCCCAGAGATCAAAAATAACTATTTAGATAGTTGTTATTCCAAAGTTATTCTACTTATACAGTCTTTTGTCACGCTATGCTCTAATCAAGTACTATATATAAATCTGTTAATTCTATATTTAGATTAATCCTCAGAGTAACAGATCACCCCAGAAATTGAAAATAACTCTATTTAGATAATCATTAATCGCATTATATTTCTATTTAGTTATGGATACAAGTCTATTAGTTTCATATTTGGGATAATCGTTGAAGTAATGCATCGCAGCAGAAATCAGAAATTACTCCACTTATACAATTGTTTATTGTGTTATGCTCTAATTAGATATCTATACAAGTTTATTAATTCTATACTTAGCTGATCATTATAGTAATGTAATAGAAAGCGTTATCGCGCAATTCTAATTATACAATTAGATTATTTTAATATTTAAATGATGGGAAAAAAAAAGAAGATATTAAAGCTTCAATAAAAGGTCTTATATGCAAATTAAAATTATAGTATATTGAAATATATAAAAGAACATCAAATTTATCTCGACAAAACTTCAAATTTTTTTGAAGAATACCATCTTAAATAAAGAACTTGAGTGATTTTTTTATTCATATTTTATCTAGTAACTTATATCTTTTTATTCGTACATTGCATAATTTTTTTTCAAGTTATAAATTTTGAGATATAAATAGTTGAACAAGTAAAATATCTAAATTGTTAATTAAAGTTATATACCTAAAATAAAAATCGTGATTATAGTACACTTGAAATTTAATCCACAAAAAAAAAAATAATAATAATAATTTCTAAAAAACAACAGTTTTATTTAAAAGTCTTATACATGAATACTATAAAATCACTAGTAGGAAACCAATATAAAAACAAAATTCAAAATGAAGAATCTCATAATACCTTATCACTTATTTATACATATTGCATATAAATTTAATAGTAAAATCTTCATTATTACAGTTGTATCTAATAATGAAAATTCACTGAAGCTAGGCTTTCAGTATACTTGTGATGTAATTAGAACAGATAATATTGAATCAAGTCCATCAACAGCAATTAACAAATGCTATCAAAATACTTTTAAAACAAAAACTGAATACTCTGGTTTGGCCATAATAGAATTCAAAAACGAAAATATTATTCAACAGTTGATCAATGATATAGTATTTTTTCCAATATTTGTTCGTATAGAAAAGCTTGCTATGGTAATAACAAACATTGGTGATCTAGATAAAAATAGATTCTATGAAATTGGCACTGAATTTGTTTCTTCGTTCACTATATCTTATCATCATAAACAACATCTTTTTATCTTAAAAATTAAAAATCAACAATACATTTTAAAAATTTATTTAGAATCAGAGTATATTAGAACAATTATAGGGGAAACTCCAGATAAAATTTGAAAAAAAATAGAAATTCTTCAAAAATATACTAGAACTTACCTCTTTGGACTTACACACTCATTAGTTCATGAATGTATAAACAAATTGAAAAGTGAGTTACCAATATATGTAGTTAGCGACTAGAAGAAAATGCAATAGCTTGAAAAAGTATTTCTCGTCATATAAAATTGTATAAGATTTCCAATACAATAATTAATTGGCAATCCCTTTTTATAACTGGTATGATCAAATAAGCTCTATTGTTTAATTTTCACTTGTATTACAAAGCATCTACCCGACTGCATATGAGTTTCAAGAAAAAGAACTACGAGCATAGCGAGCAATGTTTGTTGCTTGTAGGTATACTAATATAATACCTGTTTCAAAAAAAGAATCGTCTATAGAATTTTGGAGCAAAGCCTTAGATCCTATTGCTGATAGAAAGTTATTAAAAAGTCTTTATGAAAATAATGTTATACAATTAGATAAAAAAATTTCAGCACCAGTACCAAAACCACATCTGCAAGATACAATATTCTGGAATAGCTTTAGAGACACTATGCTTTCAAACAAAAGAGGATCAGATGATAAAATTCATATTCTTTTAATTATTGCTCTGAAGTTTAAATACTGCGTTCTCAAAAAAGAATTAGCAGTAAGTAATAACAATAATATATAAACTTTTGGTAAAATCACCTTCATTTCAAAGCCTGAAATATTTTGAGATTTTAGTTTTATTGACTTAAAATCTCAAAAATACCTGAATTTTCTGACCAATTCTCTGAACTTATATTTGTATACCTCATACTTTATCTGATTTTTTAAATCAAATTTATTTATTTCAACAATTTCGGATAAATCGAATTTGGAATTTTCTAAATATTAAACGTAATTTTATATTTATTAGATTGAATCTGAAACAATAAATAAAGCTAGAAAACATGCCCTACTTTATGATCCAGACATACCATCTTTACAAAAACCTATAAGAACCATTCATCGATTCTCTAATGTTCAAGAAAATCAGTTTTTATTATTTTTTCAAGATAAAGATAATATTAAATACAAACCTTAAATACTGTGAGAACCTTGGTAGGCTATGTATAATTTGCAATGATTATGGATATGAAATTTTTAAAAATTTAACAAACATTATACAAAATAATTTTATAAATGAAAATGATAAGGTTAGTTTATAAATCATAATATATTTTAATAAAAAAAAGATGACTATTATATTGATTTTAATTTGTAATTAATTACCTTATTAAATAGTATTAGTCCAAAATTTTGAAAAGCCTCGAAACGTTTAAATGATATATAAGGTGAGGTTATGAGAAAGAATTAACAGTCAGTGCAGATAGTAAAGTCGAGTATGATTCATACATTTTCTACTGTTTGCATTATGTATTTGGTGAATGTATTTACAACCATGAAACAAGGTGTCCCAATTGTGATCAATTGTTCAACTTTATGGATTTTTTGGTTGATTCAACATCTAAAACTATTCATCCACAAATTACAGAATGTAGAGAACAATTATTATATTACTCTTCATATCAAATGTGAAAAGTATATTTGAACACCCAATTTAAAGCAATGTTATCTAAGCTTGATTTTGATAGTACACTTTTTATTGCAGAAACTGAAATAGATATTAAAGCATATGATCACTAGTCAGCAGATACCAAGCAGGATACTTGGTTTACAGCATCAGCATTTGATGTCTTTAAGACAATAGACAGAAAACCCAAATAGATAAAGGTAATATCCGATAATAGTCCTCATTACTATAACTTTGAACTAATGACCATTATCAG